GCTCCAGTGTATGCAGTTTGACTGATGCTCATTCTTTGAATGCATGAATGTGTGTTAGTGTTCTAGACATATTCACCTCTGGACATATATGTATACATATATATACACATATAAAATACATTCACTTGCATGCATCTGAGTGTGTTGACTGAGTGTATATGTATTGTTGCAGCTATACATCAAGATCTCTATGTGTAGATCTGGAACAAAAATTAAGCTTAGCAACTCTCTATACTGTGTGTGTGCTTCCGATTTCCTATATATCTACCTATGATGTGGTAATATGTGCCATATTCCTGTCCAAGGTTGGGGCTCATGGGACTGTGGAAGTGTCTTTCATGTAGTCACTGTAAATGTGTTGGCTTTCTGGTTTCAGCTAAAAGCAGGTATAATGCATAGTAAAGAAAGTCCCACGGAGATGCAGAACCTACCATGCCCATGTATGCCTTTGTATCTCTCCATATATCTCTGTATGTATATGTATACTGATATGTATATATATATATATATATGTTTTTTTGCATGCATGTCAAGAACAAGTGATGTCTGTAGAAGCTTATTCAACCCACCATGGCAACCTGTCACTGATCAGTGGGCAGGTGTGTTTGCATTGAATTGTGTTTGCTTTGCTTTTCAGGTCCTTTCTGCGCAAGACGGTGGCAAAGGGAAAGGCCAAGCCGAAGGTTCCCAAGGAAGAAGGAGCAGAACTGGATAATTGAACATGTTCGGTCTCTCTGTGCAGAATGCCAGAGTGGGCCCTGTGCAAGATCTCCTGGAGCATGCATGTGGGTAATCGGGTACACATACGGAAATGCACAACAATGAGGCTGCTGCTGCTCTCGTGGGATGGCGCATTTTTTGAAGTTCAGCTGTGTCTCTCAGTAGTGTCGCACGTCGCCGTGGCTGATGAGATGGAGAAGAAAAGATCTTGCTGAGGATAGTGCCTCTGTTGACCTGCACGACTTGTGCATGTGTGATATATGTATATATATATATACATATGTATTATGCATGTATGTATAAATAGTGTGTACCTGCATACAAGACAAGCAACGATGTCCACCCCTTTATCAGGATGCCCCGTCCTAGATGCAATATATATATATATATACATTTGTATGTATGTATATATATATATATATGCCTTTGTGACATGATTTGTGTGTATTTGTTTACATGTGCAACTGTTCTGACATTTATATGTAACATGGTCAATATATTCACACATGTGCACATCTGTGTCTATATACGTTACATATATGCATATATATATAGATATGTAAACACACCTCTGTATATACCGTACATGTGTATACACACTTATACATATATTCATACATGTATCTGTATATCTGATGTATGCATACATATATGTACACATGCAAACATAGTTTCAGGTTTCTGTATACCTATATTTGCATCGGTACATAACTTCTCAAAGCTATATATCCTTGTATGTTTGTAGTGTGCTGTATCTCCATGTTTATCTGCACCGTTATGATATATTAGTATATATCTACATGTGTATATACTGTTATTTCTATAACTATATGTTATACTTATAATATGTGCAGACATGTATATACACATAAAAGTATAACGATAGATAGATGTGTGCATACATATGTATATATATATATATATATATATATGTACACACCATTTGGATAGTGGTCTGTGTGTATGTGCTGCATATCTAGCAACACAACATACCGACCACAAATCCTGAATCACATCTGTAGAGGCACATGTGCTATCATCGAAATGCACATGTGCACACACAGCTATGAGCACATGTGTGCATATCGAATGAGTTACTTATGTTGTTGTCCATTCGATAATAAGCTCATCCTGCTTAGACATAGTTGTACATGTATGTGTACTGGACATGTGTGTATATGTGGCTTTGCCTCTCTGACCTGCTTGCCTCATGTGAGTATATATAAGTATGGATGCCTGCATATGCTAGTACATGTGCAATCTACTGAGAGAAAGAGACATGTATGTATGTAGTGCAGCAAGCTGCCCACGCAGGTGCAAAGGTCGTGGAGAATGTGCTCCAGACCTACATCGTCCTTCGGCATTGTGTGTCAACTATTATGTGTTTGTTTGAGCACAGGGTCCAGCTTATGAAAGCCTGACTTTGCTTTTTTGTCATGTGCAGATCTGCATGATGCCCAAGGCGCACAATGCTGCTGAAGCTTCGGCAATTGCATTTCAGAATGCAAACACCATGAATGAGGTGGATGTTTGGCGCAGTGCGTTCGTTCAGTTGGGACTGGCTCACCAATCGCCAAGCGACAAAGAGACTGTCTTTCTGAACAATGTTGAGGCTTTGGGGCTCACATTGACAACAAAAGTGAGCCTGAAGAATGTTGATTTCCCAGATGGAAGAAGGCTGCATCCGGTTCTTTCCTTGAGAAGCTTGGCCACGGAGATTCTACAAGATTTTCCAAAGCTGCTTATGTTTGGTCATGACTACAGGGAAATGGCACAAGTGGAAGCTGGTTTATCCGAATTTTGGGGACGATTCCGCCACACATGGCCTGACCATGATGTTTACACTACTCATGCCCAGCACTTGTCCCGCTGCATACCCTGCCGAATGCATGCTGATGAAGGGACTTCATTCCGGCGAGCTGGCATCTATCAGCAGAGTTGGGGCCCCATTATAAAGGCAGGGCCAGCAAGTGCATTGCACTGTTTCTTTTACACAGCCATGTTGGCAGATGACTACAAGGTCCATGTGGCAGCATAGCAAGTTTTTTCGTGGTTTCAGTGCTATGTGGAATGTAAATTGTGTGACTAGTGTAAGGTCGTAGCCAGCTAATTCAGGAAGACCATGTTGGCTATGGTGCAGGCAACAACACCCTGGACAGTCTCATGAGACACTTCGTGGAGGATGCGATGGACTGCTACTTGAATGGTGTGCCTTCAAGGCAGGGGCTGTTCTACATCGTGATACTCCGTCTGGAAGGAGATTTGCCAGCCCAAGCCAAACTGTCCCACTCAGGGCGCAATTATACGAATGACCCCAACCCTATATGCAGTTGGTGCCTTGCGGAGGGGAGACAGATTCCATTCGGGGATTTCAGGAGGACTGCAGCCTGGCGGGCAACGATTTCCCAGCAACCCCCTTGGATGTCGAGGAGTCCTCTTCATGATCTACCAGGAGGTGAAGATGTTAGGTTCCTCTCGAAGGACCTGTTCCACATTTCACAGTTGGGCATTACAAGGACCTGTGTTGCATCTGTGATATGCTTTTTGGTCACGATGGGCCATTTCCAACCGTTGGTTGGTGGTACATCGGTGCCGGCATGCTTGAAAGAAGCATACAAGGATTTTGGGCACTACTGCAAGGCTGTATTGCATGAAACACCGGATGTGAAAACATTTACACGTGAGAACTTGCAGTGGAAATCCAGAGCGAAGATGCCAGATACCTCTTGGTTCCTTGCCGAAATAAAGCAAAACAACTTTGTTTGTACTTGTTGTGAAAGGACACTATACAAACAATATTTCCCCCTGTTTGAACTGAGGAAAGGCTCGGACGCACGCTTGCTCACGAAATGGCTGGTAGACTATTTGTCCCGTCCATTTCTTCTTGATGAGATCTCCCAACATGTGTTTGAACTGCTCTATGCCATAGACGACTTCCATCGGTTGTGTTACAAGCAGTGCGCACGCATCTGGATGAATGAAGCACAAATGGAGGCAGCTCGCAAATCCCTGGGCCGATTCTTGGTGAACTACTCGATGGCAGCCAAGAAGTGCCATGATCGGGGGTGGTTGTTCTTTAACATCACCCCGAAATATCGTTACATGTTGCACATCGAGCACGACTTGCGGATGTCCATGGGCCATGAATGGGGTTTTAACCCCGCTTGCTTTGCCACTGAGATGGATGAAGACTACATGGGAGTGTCAAGCAGAATGTCCCGTGCTGCTCATGCACTTGGTGCTCCTCGCCGAACAGCGCAACGGTGGCTCATTTATTCCTGGTCCAAGTGGCGGCCCTGGAAGTTTCACATGTGAGCACCAGTGCTGGTGTGAAAACATGATGAGGCGAGTGTCACTTTCTGTCAAGCCAGCTATAATCTTGAACATGTTGCAGTCTTCAGGTTGTCTGCAGTTGTACGAGCTATGCATGTCTCAGGCATGGATAAAGGAACATGTATTCAAATAACTCAACAAACATCATATATGATGGCTGCAATAAACATGGACATTATAAGTGATATATTCCTGATTTCGGCTTTCATGGGTTTCATGTCGAAAACAACCCTTGGGTGGCAAAAATCGAGTTTGCTTGCAGGCCCAACAACAACAACAGCACATATCCTGTCATGTCTGTGCTTGTGATAACACGTTTACTTGTTATTCCGTTTGTTTTCAGCAAAATGCTCAACATGTAAGAAAACCACAAACAATGAAAACAACAGAAAAATCTAGAAACCAATACTTTCTGGTTTCTCGGCATAAACCAAAAAAAGAACTACAAACCCATGTCCAGGTATGTACGTAGTTATGTACGTATGTACATATGTGTCAACGTATAGGGCCAATTTGCTCAAGCTCCCCCCAAAACTAGGTTCACCAAAACCTCGCCGGCAGCGTCGTGTGCGAGTGCTAAAATGTATGGCTGTTTGTACGCATGTGGGTTTACATGTACATGTGTATGCTGGTGTGTATGTGCTTCTGTCCGTATAGGAAGATTTGTATGTAGATCAAGACCATGCAGTAGTGTCAAGCATGAGAAGTCTGAGAAGTACTCGTCTCTTACCAACACTGCCGTCACACTGCACCCCAAAGCTGACCCTACAACGATTCGCGGCAGGGGTCGGCCTTTTCCGATAATGAAAAGCAGGTATGCCCGCAACTACACGTGGCAAAACTGCACGAGCGAAGCATGTGCCCGCTACTACGCAAGCTGCAAACGCGGCTCCGTGGACCGTAGACCCAAACAGCTCGATGCTCGCAGCTGCATCTCTCTCGGTTGGATGAGGTTCAAGAAGCTCTTCGTCCACCAGGGACAGGTGGGGCCGTGCCACAGACGGAGACTGTGCAGAGCCTGGTGCGAGCTTGGGAGCTTGATTTAGCTCTACGCTCCAGTGGTAGGTTGGCAAGGAAAGTCGAGATCCACTGCGGCATGCCACATGTTTGATCAATCTAGATTACGTGACCGACAAGTCCGAGATTTTGAGTGACGACGCCGTACACCACAAAGCCCTGCGTGTAGATCTTGTACAGTAGGTATGAACTTCAAACCGTCGAACTTGGCTTCGCGTGGCAGCCTGAGCCATGACAGGCATACCTGACCTTTGATGGCAAGCCAGAGGATGATGCTGCGAGTGAAGACAGCATCGATGAGGAGCGTAATCTGGTTGCTTTTGCGGTCTTCTCAGCTCGCAGAAAGGCTTCACAAAAGGGAGCAAGAGAAGGAGAAGTCGTAGTAGGCATCGACAGCGTGTTTCAAGTTGTATATAGTCATAGTGTTTGTGCTGCTGCTGGTGGTGGTTCCATTGGCAGTGGTCGTCGCAATAGCAGTTTTACGTGCGCTGCAGCCCCTGATCAAAAAAACATTAGTCGTCGTCGTGGGAGTATCGTTAGCAGTACAAGGAGAAGGAGGAGCAGGAGAAGCAGCACTAGTAGTGAATAGTGAAGACGAAGTCCTACATAAAGTACAGCAGCTTGAAGCTTCCCAGGCCGCCCAAAAGCCGACGGAGAAACGGATGCTAGCAAACAGAGTAGCAAATAGCAGAGCTGCAGTTTTCCGGTGTTTTCGGACATTGGGGTCGTGAGCCCAGAGCTTCGACCTCGGCATCGTCAGACCTCTATAGGGGTTGTAGAATCGTAGAATTCGCCGGACATTGAACCAAGTCCCAGGGGTTGACAGAATGACCTTCGCTCAGGAGATTTGTCCACCGGAGTCCTTGGTGAAGGCTGCTGCGAGTTTCCTGCGTCCTGAACCTGGGTTCCAAATGCTTCTGCGAATCCCTAGCCCCCCGAAAATGGGCCAATGCCGCTCAAAAAGCCCAGAGAAACATAACTCTCTGTCTGATTGGGAGACTGTGTCTCGCAGTCGGAACGACTACTTAGATATAGTTTTTCATTTTTGGTTATTATCATCCCTAAGAAACAGCTAAAATTATAATTTGTGCAAGGGTTCTAAGTTCAGTATAGATTAACCTCTCCCGCAGAGAGTTGCACATGTTGAATCCTTGCCGTGTTTCACGGGGGAGGGTGTATGGGCACGTCTGAACCTGTTCCGTAGTCGTAAGCTTCAGAGGTTGAGAATGCCTAGGATTGAGTGAAGTCAGTGAAGGATCTAAAGCTAAGACGATGCCTGCTGCCTGCCAGGAGGTGCAGGAGCGTCTTCAGCTGCCTTCTTTGGTCCTTGCCTCGTATTTCGACCTTTGAACGCTGCGGTAGTCCTGCCTTGCAACAAGTGAACGATTCAAAAGTACAATAAGGAATCCCCCAAGATACAGTAAGGCCTTGATTGACAAAACCCCACAAGAGCATGCATGCTCTTCCCACAGGGATCCCTGAATTTCTCAAGCCTCCATTGGATGCATTTCGAATTCCATACAGCTTGCAGAGTGGAGTGTGCTTGGATCGGTCTGGTACTCATTCAAGATGGTGGAGGAGACTCTTTTGGTAATAGGAGCAGGATGAAGCAGAGCGCATGCCCGCAGTTGCCTGGCCTGGGGCTTGAGATGCACCAACCGCGCAGTTCAGGAGTGAATTATAGCGGCCTTCATTCTTAGAGCGGGGTTGTGACGTATATTACAGCACAAGCAGGATAAGGAAGCCCAAGGAATAATATGGGTAATTGCTCTCCCTGCACGGTTCCACCTAAGGAAGAGCTGGAGGACGAAGAGCGTCGCTGCAGCCCAAGACAATGCTGAAGCAAGGGGAAGGGGTCCGGGGTTATGGAGAGCACGTATCACGCTACATGGGAAAGGACATCCATTTAACGAGCGTTTCACTGTTGTTTGTTGTTCGGGCTTAGCCGCTGATCCCTTGTAGGTATCGGCTTGGGGCAACCTCGCGAAAACAACTTGAAAACACGAGGTTCAATCACCTTCATACCGCAACCACAAAGACCGTCACACTCCGAATGCGAAGGCCCTACGGACTGTTAAAGTCTGGACCCCAGACCCTAGGCCCCTGCTCGGAGTTTAGGCTTGTGACGAAAATGTCAGTCTCATGGTAGTTTGAAACAGGTGCAAACACTAAAGTGTGTTGCTTCTTCTTGTCAATTCTTGTGGCATATGCCCTGAAAGCAGATCTGCACCCTAAACCCAAGTGTGCCGCTCAAACCTCATTTGACACCAAGCAGTCATCTAGGTGAATCAACCTGATGACGGTTAACGCAACTCGCTTGTATCGTCTTCAAAGCTTGCCAGGCATAGTTGGAGTGTGGGCGTCACAAAAACAACAAAGGGAATGAATGCCGCCAGCGCGAAGGACGGAAACGATCGCAGCCTTCCTCGAGCAGCGAGTGGGGTGCTTGTATCGCTGTTCCTTCGATCTGAGTGTCTGACAGTGCCAGGAAAGATACAGGAGATTCCCTTGTAAGGAGCAGCGTTCCAATGTTCATTGGTTCATTGACTCCTGACAAGAACAGAGTGTATATGCACATGTATGTGCACACACCTGTATTTTATATTATATAAAGATATAAGGTAGTCTCCCAAGAATATTGGGTCAAGAGGCTCTCGTTTGAGGTTTTCAGATGGTTGCTTCGAAGCGAAGGACGCTTGGGTTAGGGACCAGGGTTTCCGGTGATGAGACTCGGTTCTGTTTCCTATCATAGTGGGCATAGATAACCATGAGTATAAACACAGCGAGCTATCGTGTGAGCATGTACGCTAGCAGGGCTTTTAGGTCGTTTGGGCTCAAGGGCTTCAGTGTTTCGTTTAAGGCTTCGTTGGCTAAGGCTTTGAGTTGATGCTGCGTGTCGGCTTCAGACAAAGGTGTGGATCCGGAGACAACCCATGGAGCCACCGCTATAACGCCTCCGAATGTCCGAACCCATGAACTCGGAGCCCTCAAGCCTTAAAGCTCTAAAACCCTATGTCCGAGTGTGAGCGCCGAAAACCCTAAACCCTAACCCTTGAAGTCCAGAGTCCATGGCACCTCCGAGGCTTCGAGACAACTTGAGGGCTTTCCTTTTGGTCAACTTAAGGAGCTCGAGACCTAGCGGCTGAAGCCCTGCCCACTCAAAAATTGAAGCAGGCCCCGAACTCCTGCCATCCGACCTCTTCCCTTCGGCCACGTCGAAGTTTGGAGTAGATGTGAGCCTTCAATCTCCATGTCACCAGATCCGAAGTCGAGGTATGAGCAACCCTGAGCTCAACACGGTGCGATCGACAACCTCAGAAACACATAAGATACACCTTCAGCCTAAGAGAAACACAAGAGGGATCTCCAGTATTATGAGATACCTCTCAAAACCACCGAAGTTTGTGAGGAACTTCCCCCCCCCCCCCCGCAGTGTGCATGCTGTTGGACGAGGTCGGCGAAGCGACGCAAGCGAAGGCGATGGCATTCCGATCCCAGGGTTGAAGATTCAGGGCTTCAGGGTTAGGCGGAAGAGCGGCGCACTACCAGACGTCCTTTCAAGCAGGCCTGCAGCAAAAAGGGCTTTAGGGTTTAGGTTTTGGGATTAGAGCCTGGGTTCAAAAGGTTAAATTAAAGAGGCTTTGGGAGTCGAGACCTATGGTCGTAGTTGCGACTTTTCCTAACATGCGAGTGGTATGTCACATATACATGTCATCATGTGTCCCGAAGTGGGTAGCAGTATAGCGACTCTGAGCCTCGAACCATTACTTTGCTGCACTCCATTCCGAAATTCCCAGGCAGCGGGGTGCCGGAATCCACAAGTAACGGTGTAGGGTTTAGGGTTTAGCCAGTTGTTGTTTTCCATCGTCGACGTCCAGTTTTCAGCACGCTCAGAGGCTTTGGGTTGAGGGCTCCGGGAGGCCCCTGAAAGAAAGCCAGTGTCGTCTGGTTGAAAAAACGAAGCCGACAAACCCCGGAGCCAAAGCCCCAACCCAAATAAAGATGCCTGGATCAAATATGGACCCAACTAAGCCAAACCCCTGCGCAGGCGCAACGACAAAAAAAACTAATTATAGATGAGCAATGCCTTGAACCCTTCCGAGAAGCCGACAACAATCCTTGTAGACCTAGTGTAAGATTCCTAAACAGTTCCCCCGAAATCCCAAAACACCCAAAGCCCGGAGAAATATTTGGCCCCGAGAGGCGCGAAGAGGAGGACCTGACATCCTGTAGTATGCTCCACTGTTCTGCTCTAGAGCCCTCAAGGTGTGTAGAACTTCAAGGGCCTGGCAAGCAACCTGAACCTTACACTTTCAACCTTCCAAATCCTTCAGCCCTGTATAAAGCCGTAGAATACGAGACTGAATTTTCCAGGCAAGACACCGCATGCATCGGCGCGCCATTCTCTGCTTAATGTCACTTCCTGGTAGAGAACCAAACTTCAGGAGTGTGCGGTTTGAATTGGTTGAGGGGCTGACTGCAGAAGGACTTCTGGCACGAAGGCTGACCAGCACCAGCCCCCCACCCCCCCCCCCCCCGAAACTACCCGAAGTGGCTGAGGCAACATCGCTCGAATAGGATGCTGGTGGTTTGTTTCCAAAACAGGCTCGATCAGCAACCAACTTATGCCTCACACGCAGGGCGTCTCGCGCATGATCGGCAGGAGATCTAGATGACTTCTACACAAACAAGCATCCTGCTAAACCTGGCCTTTGCATGCAATATAGCCCTATCGAACTGCGTAACCCAAAGACTCAATTCCTAAACCCTGCCCCATTATCCCTAAAATCCTTCGTGCGAGTGTCAAGCCCTAACCCCCGAAACCCTGGCGCTGCAAAGCCTTCCCCTACCCTATAATGGGGCTATATAATGGGTATATAATGGCTACATAAAGGGTATATGCCTAGGGGTCCTTATTAAGGGTCCCTTCTTGCAGGAGGCGGCGAAATCCGAGAGGCTTTGGCTGACGAGTTGTTTGTTTTGCTTTGCTAGGGTTTAGGGTTTGGGGTGGCAGGTTTGGGGGGCTTGGGCTACCGGAGTTTGGGGCTTGGGGGCGGCAGAGGCTCTCGAATGAACGAGGTGAGAGCCCGGGTGCCGGAGTATTGAAATCACAGCTTTGTTGGTTTGATGCCTCCGAGTTTGAGTAGGGCACCGTACCCTGCAGGTTAGGAGGCTGAAGTCCAAGTCCAGTGTATTGTTCATGTGTTTTCGTTATTGCTCTAGTTCTTATGACTATTATTATTGTTCTTGATAGTATTGTTATTATAGTTATTGTGATCATCGACGGTTCTTGGATATGCAGGGCTACTAGATGACAGATCTGGAACAACATGTAACAACATGCTGCTCTTCCTCGCGGTCATGCGGGGTGTAAGGTGGGGGCTTTAGGACACCGGGCATTACGATTGTTTGGGTTGTGCTTTGGGAAAACTTTTAATTTCCCTTATTTCCTTATAAATAGGGAAGCTAATCTAATCATAGATAATTTTCAAAGGGTTTAAAGCACAACCCAGTTGCACTGGAACCTGTACCCGTGAATTTTCGGAGCTGCGTGTGCTTAATCGCGAAGTCTTATCCCTGAGCCCTCGGCCCACGAATGATTGTGTTTCTGACATGGACCTATGTAAGCCCCATAGAGCCTAGACTCTGTACACCTTCAGTTGAGGTCTATAGTCTGTAGAGACTATATAGACTCCAAACCAATCGCTGTATGCCAGGGCCGCCAGCAAAGGTGGCAAAGGTGCCAGTGCCTATGATTCGCTGCTCTTGCCTTGCTGAGAGTTTAGGGCACAGGGTCTGCACATAATATGGGGGTCTTCATGATTGGAATTGGGCTTGGGGCTTATCCTACTATGATTAACTTAGAGGAATTACTTGCTCTTGATAATCTGTGTTGTATGCTCTTCGAAGTACGTTCGCAGCCCTGAGTTCCGAAAATCATGACGCCTTCTGATGACCCTAAATCAGAAAGCCTGCCAGGCCTCGAAGCGATTGTTCAGAAAGCACCATGTGGGAGTGAAGCACCGTAGCTCCATGACGCCGCCGCTACAGCTCCTCCGAAAGTGGCCCACCGACCACCAGAAATGCACTTGACAGGCTCAGACCATATACAGAAGTTTGGATGCTTGTTGATGTTGACGTAGATTCTTGAGGCGCGGTCTAGGTGATTGGAACAAAGTACTCACGCTTTGCACAGGCGCGTCGTGCAGCGAGCCGTCAAGTGCAGTGTGGTTGGTGTGCCTTAGGTCTCGAGAGGGGGTGCCCTTTTCTTCTCTCAAAGTTTATTCACGGCTTTCTGAGTGAGCCATGTCCGCTCTTTCTCTTTCCGTGCTGACTCCATGCAGCTCAGTGGAGCCATCGAGTCATGGGTGGACGGATTCCGAAGATGATCAGGAGCTCAGGGTGTCAAGTTCGTGCGAAGTCCTCCGAAACGGCCCCGAGTCTTTGAAACTCTGAAGTCTAACGTCGCTGACTTAACTGAGACCGCCCGACAACCAAGGGATGCTCCGGACGAGAACTCCGGAACTGTGCCTGGAAATGACACAAAACGAACGACCTGCATGCCTTTCCTTTCGGAAAAGACGAAGATTCTGGTACTTCATCTCATTATAAACAAAGATATGAATATACTTATTCGGATTCCTTGGAATATATACAGATATCTTCAATTCTTGCACCATCAAGCCATCATAAGACCTGGAAGAGGCCCTAAACTAAACCCTTATTTAAAAAAATAGCCAGTCGGAAGCAACACCTCATGTAGCCGTGCCTGCCTATGTGCGAGTGTGCGAGTCGAATGAGAACCTAACCCCCATAAAGAAAAAACTATATAACTCCAAAACCCTATCAAAACCCTATTAAAACCCTAGAACCCTAACCCCTATGAACCCTAACCCCTATTAAAAAACACCTATGTCCCCCAAAACTCTATAAAAACCCTATAAAACCCTAGTCGGAAGGAGCTGGAAGTCGTCATCACCTGCGGCTCCTCATCTCCTGACTCGGACACCGACTCCACCCAAACGACGGCGCTCTCCTTTGAACCTCCTGAGTCCCAGACTTCTGAGAAAAGGCAGCCTCTTGGCAAAGCTCATAGGATGTGATAGGTCCTAGGGTTCAGCCTTTATCGGGATTTAATTATGGTGTTAAGGAGTCAAGAGTTTAGAGGGGTCTCCATAGGAGTTCCTTGAAGGGTTCCAGAATAGTTTGGGGATATTTTAGGTTTAATTTTAGCATGATAAGGGTTCGGGAAGTTTGGGGTTTAGGGTTTCGACTAGGCAGCAGAAGATATACAGGGTTTAGGCCTGAGTTGGGTCGAGGGTTTAGGGTGCTTCTGGTGTTCACGGGTTGGTGGAGTTTGGGTGGTTAGGGTTGGAAAGGTTGCAGCTTCCGAACAGTCGATCATGCAGTCAAAGAGGTGCTAGCTTGACGCTTCTCTGATCGCGGCTGCCTGAATCGGCGGATTTTCTGTTGGATGTTCAATACCGGGACTTTACTACTTCAGAACTCGCAAGTGTACCGTAGTCCTTAAAAATCCTGCATCAGCCACCAGCACCTCATTCTTCTTCGACGCATCATTCAGAAACCAGAGGTTTGCATGGCTCCTGGTTTCGAGGTGAAAGCTCTGCCCCAAATACGGAGCGTCGAATGTTTAGAGGGCTCTACCATGGGCCCCTGCTCCTTAATTGTTCATAGTTCATAGCGGAAAGATGCCCAACAACTGTTAACAAGTACTTGAGGCCGTCAATTATTCCCCACCCTAAACCCCTTAAACCCTAAACCCTTAAACCCTAAGGCCAAGGCCCTTAAACCCTAAACTCTAGGTTTTGCTGCAAGCTCCTTGTGCCCTCGCACTACGCCGGCCCCATCCTGGGGCGTGGTGGTCGGAACCTGCTGGCCGTGGAGACTCTCGGCTCTCGACTGCTGGAGGTTAATAAAAGGGGCCTAAATAATTACTAATACTATTTTGGGGGTTCCTTGTTAATAATTGTAGTATGTAAGGGGCCGCAAAACCGACCTTATTCAATTTATGAAGGCCCCTATATTGAGGGTTTGGGGTCGTAACGACGAGTGTCTTTAGGCCCAGGCTTCAGGGTGTCAGGGGCTAGATGACGGATGGTTACAGTTTCATGTTCTGGTCGTGTGATGCACCAGCTGCAGATCTCCTTGTGTAATGACATTCCGAGCACTTGACCGTCTTTCGAGGGGACTCTCGTTCCGGTTGGGTGTAGGGTTTAGGGTAGATTCAGACTGCGTACATGCAGGCATTTGACAACCCCTACTACAACCTGTCAAGAACTCCTTGGTGGTTGCAAGCGGGGGCCCAGGAAGCACACCAACACCAGCGTTCACATTTCTCCTGCTGGTGTCTTCTTCCCGGGCACAGAGGCTTGCTGTTCAGCTTCTCAGGGTTTTGAGTTCCGCTTGCCCAGAAGCTCTGGTTGTTCAAGCAAGTGGGCGTGTCCGACAACCATTTTACGGTCTAAATTCTAGTTGCATGCACATTTTTCGCATGCGTCACGCTGCCTTCATGTTGAGATTTCACTTTGGCTATGCCTTGCGATTCGAAAACTGTGAAGCAGGATCGGATGCTTATGATTTTTGCGGAGACCCTGGCGAGCTTGGTCACCTGCATGGAGATGGTTGTGAGCCTTGGCTCGACTTAGGGACCATGTCACGTCTGCGCTGGAAACTAGACCCGCGATGCAATAAGGACTAGCAACAGCAACAGCAGCAGCTACATTTACAAACACAACATCTGCAACAACCACAACAGCCACAATAACCACAGCAACAGCAGCAGCGGCGGTGGCAGCAGCAGCCGTGGCAGCAGCAACAACGGCAAAAGCCTTCCACGATCTTGACTACTTTGCTGCTTTTTGCTGCTTCTCCTTCAGCATTTTCCTCTTGGCATGCACGGCATACACCAAGAATGTGCGGCATTGTCTCTATGGACCCTTATGGCCGACTCTCATATGGACTTGAACCCTAGGGTCCTAGGAACTGTCCTCAAGCGCGTACAGTACTGGTTGGAAGCATCCAAGAGAACGCTGAACATGCCAGTGGGCCAACACCGGAAGTCACTTACGAATCCCGCCTTGGATTCCCTAGTTTGGCGGTGAAATCATGTCGTTTAGGCAGCAGATGCGTGGTCCTGGTGAGCGGCAGAAGCAGCACGTCGTCTCCAAGCTGGTGGTCCCGAACTCTTCCGTGAGCTTCATGTCTGCCTAGCAAGAACTTTAAATTTCCTAGACCCTGGACATATATGGGTGGTTGTCAATATTATCCCTTTTGGGGGTCCTTATTATAATACGGCACCCAATATTTAAGGTACCCCAAAACGGGACCCTATTTTCGACAACCACCCATATATGGTCTTGGCTTGGGGTTTGGGCTCCACAGTTCATGCTGGCAGGGTGGTTCAACCTATATCTGCAGGTAGGCGCAACTACTGTAGCGGTTTGCACCCATGTTGAATACCTTGGACAGGCAGATGCGTCGTTACCATCCCTAAAGGGGGCCACACTGTGGATCTGAATTTGTAGTTCACTGCTTCTGGTCTAACTTCTCTAGTCGAAACTGTCATGACAGGCGCGGAACTGTGTAAACCGCTGCTTCTGGGAGCACGGCAGCAGGTTCTAGGTTTTTTAAAAAGAGCTTAAAAACCTACATTTTTACAAAACCTACGCAGGAGGAGACCTGGAGGTTCTTCTAACCTAACACCCCTGAGCCCTAAGCCTTGCCAATACAGGGGGCCTCAAGAGTTGCCAAGACTATTTTAGGGGTTCCGTATTATACTTATAGTAAAATGGGCCCCCAAAACCCTATTCTGATTAGTAAGGCCCCTATATTACCCCCACGCCTGAAAATGAAAACGCGACAGCAGATGAAGCCCCGATGGAGAATCCTACATGCTCAATCAGGCAAGATCATCGGGCGTCGAGGTGCACCCGGCGGCAGGTTGACTTCTGTCGCATCGTGTGCTACTGACGCGAAATGACCATACTGTAGCGCCTGGAGCATGTACGTTCTAGTTGCGAGATCTTTTTCTGTGAAGTCCACAAGCTTACTTCTCAGGCTTTGGCCCCAGGCAGCCCGTGTCATGTACCATAGCTCCGCTGGACGTCGATGACCTAGTTCTTGAGGTTGTCTTGTGCTGCTTCGTCATGTCCCTGTTTCCGTCGGGGCAGGGACTTCCTCAGATCTTCGAAACGGTCTCCTGTGTCTAAGGCTGAAATCCGATGGTCCATCTATCTTTGTTTACGGTCTCTTGTCTTATTGCGTTTTCATCTCCCGACATGAAGGCGACCTCCTGAAACGTGTTTTTGTCCCACAGGATGAGGGGCTCATGTCTGCCGAGCTTTCGTGCTGGCGTGCGTTTCACAACATTTGAGACGTTCCTGCAAGCACCTAACCCTATGCAGCTAACCAGGCTCAAAGCAACAGACACCGACAGGGTATCATTGTCAACCAGGCGCTATCTACGGCACATACTGAGCGAGTATTCCTACAAGAACAGGGCCTGCAAAAGGGCTCATGCTGCTGAAACTGTTTCCAAGCCCGCCCTCCACCTATAGTCTCCATTGTGGTTCCTTTTTGGGGTTACCTTATAGGATCCTAATTATATGTTTGGTTAAACCAAAAAAAGGAACTACAATGGAGACTATAGGTAGACATGCCGAGCCCAGCCAGGCTGCCATCTGCAACAGGTCAAGGAGTCAACTGGCTGCCGCGTCAGCATCAGCCAGCGAAGCTAGGCTTTAGAATGCTCCACTTGGGTAGCTTGCATGCGGTCTCTGGTTGTTGGCTGAAGTCAGGGTTCCAGGCACGGTGGTGATCGAGATGCCGCGACATTCTTCCAGGTGCGATGGTAGTAAACTGCCACATCAAGATAGTATAGCACTCGGGCAATCAATCTCTCTCTCTATGTTTTTTTTTTTGCGGATTTCGCATGCTGCAGCTGCCCGTATGCATCCGTCCAGTGCTGTCCCGTATGCATCCGTCCAGTGCTGTGCCAGCGCTCAGGAAACGAAGGCATCCAAGAGAGAGTGGCATCTCGATGCAAGCCCCAGGAAATAATGGGGACGTCTGTCATAGGTGTGACAATATTCTCTTCTTGCCCTGGGCTTGGGAAAGGCTGTGACTAGATGTTCTGGCCAGCTGTCTTTCGGAGCATCTGGTCGTCAGGTCTGCCCTTAGGCGATCTTCAGAGCGGAAGCATAAGGTTTGCGACAGGGCGAGGGGAGGCTGTTCCTCCCTGATTTCTTGGGATCCTGAAGGCATTGATGTAACGTTTTGGATAGTCATCGCAGCTCCATGCGGCTGACACTGAGGTGTTGCTGGGCGGAGATGGTACGTCACGGTTAAGCGCGGCAGCGATGATTTTGACGCTTGCCTCTTGTTTCTGCATCCCCAGATTGCATGGGAACTTACTCTCAGGCAGAACAAGCTACTGGGAACTAGCGTAGTGCAAGTGGATGACGAGTTCGTATGGCAGTGCTGCAGTATGGTAATGAGGGGAGTCTCTGGCAAGGGAAGAAGGGAATGATGGAGTGACCACAATGATAGAATGTCTTGAGTGGTTCGGTGCAAGACTGCCCTTGTCGTGGCAGATCTTCAATGGGTATTTGTTGCGCTTGTTTTTATTTCTACGATTGTCCGTTCATTACGTCTTGCTGTGGCGCTTTGTTGCAGCCTTTGTCATATGGTTAAGGTCGTCAGCATTATGTCATGCAGTGATGACTAGCAGTGGCGATGACTACCCGGAAAATGGGTCGGCATAGTTCAAGTCAGTACTACTGCGCTTGCCCGCTGAGTGAAAGTAGTTCACGAGATGGCACGCGCTGTAGAAGCGAGGCTACAACTGTCGCATGCCTGGGTGCGTACCAGGTCATAGGTCTCTCAAACCCTATAAACCCTAAACCCTAAGGGTTTAGGGTTTAGGGATGTCCGGAGATTCAATAGAACATGTTTTGATTTTCAATTTACTACATGCTTGGTTCCTCTCGACAGCGGTCCCGTTGGCAATGAACTGCACAAAGCAGGTCCCTGGGACATGCTAGGCAACGCAAGGTGCACGTCTTCATTCTCGATGCTGTACGGAAGAACTCGCTACAGAGGCCCGCGCGTATCGCAAGACGAAGCCGCGAGTCCTTGGCGACATCTCACCGGCTGTTATAAATGCGCCACCTCAGTGTCTTCGCCCAACAAACAGGCTGCAAGGAACTTTGGCTGGCAGATGCTGGCAGCATTAGCAAATGTCCACAAGACGGTCGTCAGAGCTACATTTTTCTGCTCAGAACAAACAAGCTCGCAGGCAAAGGGGTTCGAGGCAATGTGCCAGAAGCCTGAGTCTGTGCTGATGACCGGTGAAAAACGATAACTTTGTAGATTGTAAAGGCTCCAAGAGTGGCACTATTTGTGCTCGGCCCGAATAGAAAGAACCCATGCAGCCACGATTCAAGATTGAAGCTTCCCTGATTGCGACTGCATGGTCTTGCTGGGTGTGGCCCAGGAATCGTCGTGCTTAGGTCTACCCTACGAGTCTTGTTGGATTGTGACGGGGAGCTGAGTTGGGGCTGAGCAAGGTATCACCGTGCTTGAGCCAAGCAACCACTTGATTGACGTGTGTTGAGCTTGGCTGCAGTCAGGACGTGCGTCCAAGAAGATCCACACCTTCATGAGCAGCCATTCTGCAACGTACTAGCTGGTGGGAGCGTTGAAGGTCGGAAGGCCCTTTTGCTTTCAAAGAGCTGCAGTAGCGGCGGCAGCACCAAAGCAACAGCACCAGCACCAGCAGCAACATTCTCCACACCACCACCACCAGCAACAGCAAGAACAACAAGAACAACAACTGTGACAGCAACAGCAACAGCAACCACAACACATAGCACCACCATTAAACACATATTATGCGTTTCAATAGTCCTCCCCCGACTGCGACTGCTACTGCTTCTGCTACTACTACTACTACTACTACTACTACTACTACTACTACTACTACTACTACTACTACTACTACTACTACTACTACTACTACTACTACTACTACTACTACTACTACTACTACTACTACTACTACTACTACTACTACTACTACTACTACTACTACTACTACTACTACTACTACTACTACTACTACTGCTACTACTGCTACTACTGCTGCTGCTGCTACTACTACTACTACTTCTACTTCTGCTACTTCTACTACTACTACTACTGCTACTACTGCTACTGCTACTTTGCTACTACGATTTCTACTACTACTACTACTACTACTACTACTACTACTACTACTACTACTACTATTACTACTACTACTTTTACTACTACGATTACTACTACTACTACTACTACTACTACTACTACTACTACTACTACTACTACTACTACTACTACTACTACTACTAGTTTTACTACTACGATTACTACTACTACTACTACTACTACCACTACCACTACCACTACCACTACCACTACCACTACTAATACTCTCACAACAACTACCACTAGTAGTACTACTACGACGACGACTATTGCTACCACTATGTGGACGACTACTAGTACTCCACCGCTACTACTATTGCTACTTCTACTCTAGCTCGTATTCCTGCGACGATTACTGATTGACACTGCTTCTACTGTTAGCACGTCACGCACTATACTAGTCTTTGTGATACTCTTACCGGGCTCGAAAGCACTGCGTTGCTGTTGCTACTGCTCCTGCCACTGCTGCTGCTGCCTGCTACTGCCACAGCTATTGCTACTGCTGCTACTATTTCTACTGCTTCTACTGTTACCACTGCTACCGCTACTGTTTCGAACTGTCGTACTACTACTAGTCTTTATGATACTTTCACGGGCTCCAAAGCCTGTAGCTCGCATCTAATCCAGAGCCTGCCAACTGGGTCAGCTGAACTTTTAGACATGCACTGCACCGTTGTCCAGATCCTCAACCATAAAACCTTGATAAGCCTCGAGCTTCAAGTCAAGGCACATGTACTTCGAGTACGAGATCGAGCTTCCACGTGGTTGTTGGGACTGTTGCAAGTCTCCGCAAAACCAGGCATCCGGCGTTTGCCTGCATCAGGATCTATATCCTTTAGGATGGTCTTCGAGCCCCGAAAGCATGTGAGAAGTTGAAGCACGTGGCCACAGCAATGAGCCCTGTAGAACTCGAAAGCATATCGGGCTTCTTGATAGTTCGGTTGCTGGCTGGTGCCGTGAGTCTCTAAAGGTACAGGGGTTGAACAGGCTAAGGCTGAGGTCCGACATTTACGGGGTGGGGGCTTTGGCGCTTTGCTGAAAAGCGTTAGGGGGCAACTATATTTGATTGGTCTGTGAGCTTTAGCTTTTTCATTCAACATTAAAGCGTTAGTAAAGCTTGCTCGACCCCCATCCAGCACGACACCTAAAGCAACAGCCGTCTGATTGTGAATACCGTCGTCCTCGAGAAGGTATAGGGTATAGGGTTTGTCACTGCAAGCTGACACAACAATTGGGCCGCATCGGGCGCAGTGAGCCGACATCGTGCAACTGTACAAGTTCAAGATCCGGTTCAATGTAGAGGCACTCAGCATGGATAGAGGCTTTCGTGGCCAAGGCGTGTTGATCATGATTTTGCTTACGGCTTTTTTAATGCTAGTGCTGCCATTGCTGTCGGCAGAAGCAGCCGGCTGCGATTACAACTACTCCTGTAGCACTAGTACCGTGCAACGGCACTAGCAGCAGCAGCACCGCCACCACTGCCGCCACCAGTACCACCGCCCCTTCCACCACCAGTGTCGCCACCACCAGAACGATAACGACAACGACAAGTACAGCAACAGCAGAAGCGGCAGCTCGAAGCACAAATCCAACAACAGTCACGACGACGACGACAACCACAACAGCAGCAGCAGCGGGTGCTGCGGCTGCCACCCTACTACTACTACTACTACTACTACTACTACTACTACTACTAATACTACTACTACTACTACTACTACTGCTACTGCTACTACTGCTACTACTACTACTACCACTTCTACTACTACTACTACTACTACTACTACTACTACTACTACTACTACTACTACTACTACTACCACTTCTACTACTACTGCTGCTACTACTACTGCTACTACTACTACTACTACTACTACTTCTACTACCACTACTTACTACCACTACTACTTCTACTACTACTGCTACTACTACTACTACTACTACTACTACTATTACTACTATTTTACTACTACTACTACTACTACTACTACTACTACTACTACTACTACTACTACTACTACTAGTACTAGTACTAGTACTAGTACTACCACCACTCACTACTGCTATTAACGCTGCTGCTACCGCTACCACTGCCGCTCCTGCTACCACCACCACCACCACCAACAACAACAGTAGCACCACTACTATACTACCACCACTACCACTACCACGGCCACTGCTACTACTGCTAGTGCTACTGCTACTGCTACTGCTACTGCTACTACTACTACTACTACTACTACTACTACTACTACTACTACTACTTCTGCTGCTACTACTACTACCACTGCCGCTTCTCCCACTCCCGCACCCGCTGCGGCTTCTGCTGCTTCTGGTTGCTTCTCCTTGTGCTTCTACTTCGACTGCCCACTTCCCATTTCTACTGCTGCTACTACTCGCTCCTTTTTATATTAGTGTTACCAACTACTAAACGGTATCTACTGATTAGTAAGGTAGTTGCAGCACTCTCAGTTGCAACTAAAACCTCGTCGACGAACTTGTCCACCTGCACCTCAACTCCCGCTGCACTACTTGCACTTGCTGATATTTGACGGGGGCATGTAGGGTGCTTCAAAGATGTCCTCGAACTGCTCGGTCTGGCGGAAGCAGCATTCCAGCAGAGTCACAGACAGTCCTAGGGTTTGGAAACATTCGTGACATTCTGACAGGATGCCAGCTTGCCTCCACCTCACGAAGTGGCGGACTTACCGAAGCGGCAACTTTGCAACGCATTTGTGCAGGCTCGGGCCAGGCTCGGGCTTAAAAAGCCGTATTCGGACATGGAAAATCAGGATCCGTATCATCCTGAAGCTCCAAAGCATATATGCTGAAGCCTTAAACCCCCAAACCCTAGAAGGTATCTGTCGGTTGGGGTTTTTGTTCTTCTCAACCATTTCCCTGCAGTGCATCTTGGAGCCACGACCAGCTACAAAAGTGTCTGTCATGAAGTTCAAACTTTGCACCGCCGGCCCCTACTTGTTGCTGAGCAAGGGACGGGGTGGCACTCCATCCCGACTCTCTTGCAAAGTCGGCCTGGGCCATTCAGGGTTTTGGGACGCGTGGGGTCAAGTTCAGGCCTGTGCACAACCACCCACGGAGCTCAACAGGCTTTAGTGCTGAAGCCTATAGTAGCTATCCATCTATCTGTTTTCCTACATACCTTCGTTTCTATTTGCCCATTGGATGTTTCAGTTTAGTCTTGGCCACAAACTGTGCGGTATCCCGGGGCAAAGGTTCGTCGTTCGTCTTCCACTTCCATTGTCAAGGCCCTAGGAATTTGGTGCTCAGGGTTCTTTTGCCTGAAAGGTCCAGAGATTGAAGTTTTTTTTTTTTTTTTTTGGGTGGGGGTGCTTGGGGTCTTACAGGGTTTGTGTTTGAGGTTGATGACAAGATAGCGTTTACCTTACATGCCACCAACCCCACGCCCAGGCACCTGGTTGAAATGCTGAGAGCTGCGGCACCCCGCGAGGTCTTGATCCGGTGCCTGTGCTGCAGAAGAAGTTCGGAAGCCAGAGTCGTGATAGTATGGTGTCACATATTCCAATGGTGTAGGTATTGCTGCTAACGTGCTGTGCCTATGGTATATATAACAAGGTAGATTTGTATTGCATTGTTCGTTATTTTGAGTATCGCTACTATATCTGTCCTTCTCGCTACGTGTAAACACAGGCAAGGAAATAAGTGATGTCTCCATGCATGCATGCATGCTATGTGTGGATATGGATATGGACATATGTATATATGGGTATATGTACATACAAATAAAGAAGGCGCCCCTCCTTATGAGACCTCCGTAGATGTCAAGATAGAGCAAGGAGTTGTGATAGTTTGGGTTTGAGGAAATGGAAAAGTGACGCAACTTTGCAATTTTTGTGCAAAGATTTGAAGGTTTAGGCTTTATGACCGTATGGGTGCTTGGAGCTCTCTACACTCCGCGCCAGAACATAGTCGCAAGGACATGAGTTCAACTCCTAAGGTCCTAAACCCCAAGCCCTGAAGATGGTAAAAGGGGGGGGATTCAGACGCAAAACACCATTAGCGGCCGGGCGCTAGCAACGCCGCAAATTGCATATGCCTGTATGTTGACTGGATGCGCGAAGCTCTGGCTAACATGGATGGATGCGTGCTAAACTGTCCCTGATCGTGCCATGTTGCGAAGTGCTCAAACTAACCCAGACCACAGAGGGCAAGTGCTTGCTAAGTGAGTGGAAAGCCAAGGCAAGCCTTCAACTTTCTACCTACCAGAAACCAAACCCTAAACCCTAAACCCCTAGACCCTAAGCCCAATTCTGAACCCCCTTTGGCCAACGCCAAAGCAGCCGTTGCAGGAACTCACTCCTGGGCGATGTGCGGAAGATTCTGTGCCTCGGCGCGGGATGGTGTGCTAGGGTTTAGGGTATTTTCGGGTTTAGGGTTTAGGGTTATATACAAGTCTGTGCAAAAGGGGTTTAGGGTTAGATAGTCAGAATAGACAACCATGGTACCGAAATAACAACAATAGCGATATCAACCATGGCAACAACGGCAATAGAGAGGTTGGAACGGTGTTTGTACTCCACGCGAAGGCAGACTGCAAACTACCCCACGCCATATCATAATTGTCAGGGGCCCCGGGTTTTGGTTTTGGACGAGGGTGCACGAGGTCTACTGTTGTTAGCGGGGTATCGCTTTCACCCACAAGCCTAGCGATCTGTCTGCCATTATACTGCAGCTATTGATATGGTAGATGTAATTCCAGCTGTTATGACTTGGTCTTGGCAAAATCCAAAGTACATGAGTGCAATAAATACCGGACAGCAGTCAGACTGACAACAAACGCACAACGGAACCAAAGGTAGGTCAGCATTACGGGAAGAATTGACAATTCGGCTATAGGGTGGAGGGATTTAGCGGAACCGACGGTAGAACGAGAAACCTTGAAGGAGCTTGTTTCATGGAGCAACAGATGTCACTGCCGGCTTTCAGAGCGGCCTTCTTGACTGGTTTGCATTGCTGCATGGCGACAACATGAAGTACAGAAGCATACCAATATGGGTTGGGACCTGCTAACCAGACTTGCGGTTGCAGCACCATTGGTTGCAGCAGCTGCTACCGTTGCTGCCAGAGTGGTATTATCACGAAGAGAAGAACGTCGCGCCGCAATCAATAGGAGTCACGAACAGAAGTTCGGTCTTGTTCGCATTGAACAGCATCATAGTGCTGGCAGCGATGCTCCTAGCAGAGGTGGTACTTAGTAGTAGTAGGCGTAGTGGTAGTAGTAGTAGTAGTAGTAGTAGTAGTAGTAGTAGTAGTAGTAGTAGTAGCAGTAGCAGCATTAGTGATAGAAGTGATAGTGGTCGTGGGTGTGGTGGTGGTTGTGCTGGTGGTAGTGGTAGTGGAACGGGTACCAGTAAAACAGATATTGATCATAGTCGTAAGATGATTCATAGCAATAGTCTTTTTAACTAGTTAATAGGTGACAATAAATTCTCAGAACACGACCAATCGATCAAAACATGCAGTACAAATCGTACAACAGCTAGTATTACTCTGTGTTTGACGGAAATCGGAAAGCGCAAGGAAAGCCAACCCTCGCGACAAGCTGCTGGCGGTCCACGACGAAGCCTGGCGCAGCCTCGAGCTGTCCATGCGCTCGTAGTCAGAGGGTCCCACCTACTACATGGGCTTCGTGGTTTGAGGGTTTGAGGTGTTTATGTTTGTGTGTGTTTGCTTCGAGGATTTAGGTTACATTCTCGGATTTGGAGAGTTGAGGCATCTGGTTTTGGAGCGTTTCTTTTTGATTTGGTTTCATGGTGAATCTATGATGTCGGCTCTTGTGTGAAGGGATTTTCGGGTTGGGGGTTATGCTGAGATTAGAAATGTGGTGTC